ACTAATCAGGTCTGATCGATTGTGCACTGATCGATCAGTGTGTTCTGCGTCGACGTCAGTTTTAAATCTCCGGCGGTCTGACCGAGCGCCGTCAACATGATTAGCCGTCAATACCTCACGGACAGGCAGGTAAACATTAACCAGCAGAACGTGTTCACTTGTCAAAGAAAGTTTGTACTGTACGGAGGAACATCATGGCGGCGACGGGTTCTGCGTGGACTAAAGGACAAACGTTATACAGGTTCTCTGTGAACCTGCATCAAGCTAGCAGGTAAACAAACTTCTGCTTCTTTAATCAACCTTTAGCTTAGCTCATAACTAGTTACGTTGAGTAACGGGTTTGCTAGCGTCAGTTTTTTTTAAAAGGTCTGTTTGCTTTAAACTTGGACAAAATGAGCCGTCACATAGCTATATTTAACTATTTGTGTGTATTTAACTCCTACAGTAAAATATGAGACTTTTCTGTGTTCGCTTCTTGTTAGCAAATGTTATGTAACTGTTTCACCGTTATTCTCCTGCCAGCGTTTTGTCGTGCGTGTTTGACTCCATATGTTTAAGTTTTTTCACTCACTTTATAAAGTATAACGCTTTGATAAATCAGTGTGTATGTGCATTAGCTTTATGTTCTGGTAATACTTTAATTATCTGAGACAAGGGCCAACTTTCCAAAACAGCTTTAATCATTTGCAGGACCTCTGAACTTTGTCCCGTGAAGCTCCGCAACATGAAAAATACAACAAGACGACTTTGTTGGTGCTTCCAGCCCTGCATGCATTCCCTCTGTTGCTGTTTAAAAGGCTTATTGCTAGTTTTTTGAAAGGGTGCCATGGGAAATTCATTTTTTTAATTATAGCTCCCCCAATTAAAGCTATTGGCCCATGAGGTTATTAAACGAGATGTCCCACTGACCTTGGAAGTTTTAGGACTTTAGAGTATCAAAATAAAGCTTTATAAAGTGTTTGTGAGTTAAACAGATGGCTTTGAAAGTGCTAAATTTCCCTGACATTTGCACAGTATAGCTCCCTAATCCATGTGGGGATACACCAGCTAGGCTGCCTGTGACTGACACTCCACATCCTGTGAAAAAAAAAGAAAAAAAAAATCCAGAAATTGAGGTTAATGTGCCATTGAAGCAGCTTTAAAAAGGTTTAAAAATCATGAGTTTATAAAAAGCTATGAAAGTCCTTGAATTTGATGTCTAGCTGAGAGTGGGAGCTCTGTTTAACACTGGATATGAATAGTCGGATATTGTGCAGCTGCTGAAGCGGCTGATGTTTTTCCTCCTGCTTTTGTTAACAGATTTTTATTAGTTCACTTTGCTTCAGATTTATAGTTTTTATGTACACATTTAAGATGGTGCCGGTTCGCGTCCTGGTGGAGTTTGCATGTTCTCCCCGTGCAGCGTGGGTTCTCTCCGGGTTCTCCAGCTTCCTCCCACACAGTCCAAAAACATACTGAGGTTAATTGGTGATTCTAAATTGTCTGTAGGTGTGAATGTGAGTGTGCTTGGTTGTCTGTCTCTAAGTGTAGCCCTGTGATAGACTGGTGACCTGTCCAGGGTGTCTCCTGCCTTCGCCCTGAGTCAGCTGGGATAGACTCCAGCCCCCCGTGACCCTCGTGAGGATTAAGTGGTGTGTAGATAATGGATGGATGGATGGATTTAAGATGGTATTTTGTATTATTTTTATGGTTTCACTCTCACATTCTCAAAAGAGACTAACCAATTGGAATTTACTCTGCTTGTGTGCCACTTACATAGTCATTCTCTGTTTATTTTCTTTGGCATGGTTCCTAAAACGACAGCATAAACACATGATTGGTTCAACTCTCTGCTCTGTGACTTTCAGACACAGTTATTAATCTTCAAATATTGATTGGAGCCACTTAGATTCTTCTAATAATTCTTAAAGTGAATAATATTTCCTTTTTATTCACCTCAGAGTGGGTGAAAAGAAGTTTGACGGTGAAGGCACAAGCTGTGGCATTCAACCCACTCATTCATACAGTATGCATATTTTTCATATCAAAGGATATTAGCACGACTATCTCTTAGTCCATATGTCACGCACATCCCCACATTCCTTTTAAAGTTTCTCCTTTTTATATCGATGACTTCTGCGGGTTTATGTTTTCGCTTTGAGCCTTTGTGAAACTTTCTTTCATCTTGTTTCTATGTAGGAGGTTTTCAGAGAGCAGCGACAAAGGCTGGTTCCGGTCTTTATTTGTGCACAAAGTTGATGCCAGGAAAGATGCTCACTCCAACCTGCTGTCAAAGAAGGAGACCAGCAACCTGTACAAGATTCAATGTAAGCCAACAGCTTTTACTTACACACAAGCGAAGGTTGATCTTCTTTAAGTGCAGGGCTGCAGAAGGCCAAAGACAAGTGAATCTAATTCACTTACATTGTATTATAATTAAATGGATTCTGTTTTGTGTCTCAACAGCCTTTCATCCATTTTTCTCTGGAGAAAACAGCTAAATAAATCATGTTAATTAGATTCACTCCACTCTGGCCTGAGTGACCTCAGAGAAAAGTGAAAGTAGCATTAGAGAAAAACACAGGACTCCACTGTAACAAGTTATTTACTATCATACATGCACAACATACAGACAGCAACAAGTCTTACTACAATAGTACAATAGCATGATGTATCAGGACTGTAAAGTCTTTTTTAATTTTTTTTTTTTTTACATCAGAACAATTTGTCCGGTTTTCTTTTGAGTCTGTCGTGATAACTGCATCTGTCTCTTGAAGAGAAATCTATCATTCTCACCGGGCTTTGATCTTTTATGTGGCGTACATCACACCATGTAGGGATTTCAATTTGAA